TTCGTGCGCCACTTCATCACAGTGTGCATGTACCTTTAAAATGTTCTTCATAGTACAGACCACAGAGTCATAGACGACTTGAACTATCCTCTTGCCTCTCGTAGCTTCCCACCGGCCATGAGACCTCATTTGCACGGACTATTATCCCATTCCAGTGTGGCGTCTTGAGTACCTCATCTTTCGCCATCGCCGGGAGAGAGCCTTTTGCCTCGGGCTGTCATATAAAAGGTCATTAGGATACATAGCTCGTAATTGATTGGCTAGAAGGGATGTATATTCAATCAAATCAAACGTCTTCTGCCCCCATTGCCGTCATGTTCACACGGTGACTGTACTACCGAATGCAAGTATGTTACTTCATCTGAGGAGTAAAGATGCGCGAGATTCCCCGTGTAACCGCACTCGACTATGACCTAGTTTCAAACGTTGAGGTTGAAGTTGAGGTTAATGCTCTTCTTTTGTCTTCTGAGTCAAATGTTTAAAGCCCCACTGCACTACTTATAGCTACTTGCGCCCTCTATATAGCAAACAATGCCTAATAGGTGACCATTGGTCCCCCATGATCCCATTTTCCCATGTTAAGCTGATTTGTTGAGATAACCACATGTCAGTGACCATGCAGGGAGGTCTATTCCCTCCTGGCCAAACTAATGCAGTGGAGCTTTAAATTGGCAAGGATTGACAAAATGTCTCTGTATACACATATAATAGAAATGAATTCGTTTGTTCCTCACTGGAAACAGTGAAGATTGAAATAAGGTTTCGGTTCTTCATACCATGTTGAAGCCTTGCGCGCGCGCTCTCTCTCTCTCTCTCTCTGTCTTTCTCTACCAAGTTATTGATAGTACCAGGTTCTTCTGATATCCACATTAAAACCCTGCATTAGAAACCAGTGTAACACGTCGGCTGTCAACACTTTCAAATTACTAAGACGAATGTTCGCCTTTTAGTTCTTTGACAAATAACTGATTTCTTTTTCTTCTATAAATGATTTAACTTTCCAAAATATCAGTCAAATATGTATGGCTTACACTGGCAAGAACCTTACTGAAAAGGACTTAATTAATCGCAACCATTTTGAAAAGCAATTATGCCTAACCATTTTTTTTTTTTTTACTATATCCCTCTCTTTTTCTCTCTCTCTCTCTCTCACGCACACACACACACACACACACACACAAATTCTCTCTCCCTCTCTTTCTCTTTATGTACCTCTTTCCGTCTCTAAACTTACTGTTTCTCTCTCTCCCTTTATTTATTTATCTCCCCCTCTCTCTCTCTCTTTATATATTTATATCCCTCCCTCCCCTTTCTTTATTCTCTTTCTCTCTCTCTCTCTCTCTCTCTCTCTCTTTACATCTCTACCTCTCTCCCTCTGATGAGCATTCGAAAGTCGTATAGATTAGCCTGGAAAATGTATCACTTAAATACACTTGCCATTTCTAATTACACCTCCGCACAGACTTAAATCTGCTACATTTCCACAATTATCAGGATAACGTGAAGTACTCCATGCTTTTTAAAGCTGATAATTTCAACGTCAGGTCAGTCACCCTCTATTCCAGTTCTTTATCATTGGTTCGCTGACCATGAAACAAATTGCAAAAGTTCCAAACTCGAAATGGGATTATGAAGTCTTTATAATAATAATAATAATAAATAATAATAATAATAAATTTATAAAGCGCAGCTTTTATACAAAATATATTTAGCTGCGCTGGTTAAGAGCTCCTTTTTACTAAATTCTACAAAATAAGATCACTCAGTTGAACAAATAAGTTTTTAAATTGGATTTAAAAACATTGAGAGATGGGGTGCTTCTTATTTCTATTGGCAAGCTATTCCATAGTTTGGGGGCAGCAATAGCAAAAGCACGGTCCCCAAGAGTTACTTTAGTTTTGCCATGGGGAATCTGAAACAATAATTTATATGTGGAACTGCGCAGGCTACGACTGTGTGATTGGACTTTGAGTTGAAGTAATTCTTTGATGTAATGATTTATAGACGATTAACAATATTTTGAATGAGATTCTTTGACGGACTGGCAACCAGTGGAGTTCTCTCAGAAGAGGTGCGGTTGAAGTGAATTTCGACCGACGATAGACAAGTCTTGCACATGCATTTTGTACTCTTTGTAACTTAGCTATCAGAGAATCAGGCATTCCAAACAGCAACCCGTTACAATAATCAAGCTTACTTGTGATAAGAGCGTGTACAACCAATTTCATACTTTCTTGATCAAAATATTTGCGGATACGTCTGAGATTGTACAGAAGATAGTATGTTGATTTGCATATATTTTTAACATGTGTTTCCATGGTTAAATTAGTATCAAAGTATACTCCTAAATTCCTTGCTGTAACAGAGGGTATCACATTGGAGGATCCAACTCTTACACCGTCAATACTTATTTTTGAGATCTGTTGTGGAGTTCCTATAACCAAAAATTCACTCTTACTATCGTTTAGCTTAAGATTATTGTTAAGCATCCATCTATGAATAAAATTAACACATTTTTCCAACATTGAAACACTTGCATCTTGAGTACTAGTGGATGGTCTAAAGGATAAAAATAATTGTGTGTCGTCTGCATAACAGTGACAGGAGACTTCAGGAAAATTATCCTGAGTGCTCTTGATTAGATTACTCGTGTATAACATAAAAAGCAAAGGGCCGAGCCGAGAGCAAAGGGCACCTGAAAAGAGTCAGAGACAATGCCATCAATTTTAACTTTTTGATGTCGATCAGACAAATATGACTCGATCCAGCCGAGAGCAACACCGTCGATACCGCAGCATATCTTCAAAATATCTAGTAATCTGGAATGCTCAATAGTGTCAAAGGCACTACTCAAGTCAAGTAATAACAGGAGAGTGATTTTCTGTCTGTCCATTGCAATCAGAATATCACTCTTGATCCTGAGTAGTGCCGTTTCTGTACTATGAAACTGTCTATATGCAGACTGATTGGATGGAAGGAGTGAATTACTGTTAAGAAACTGTAAAATATGTTGTGTGGCTGCACCTTCTACCAATTTAGAAATGTATTGTAGGTTACTTATGGGTCTAAGATTACCAAATTCAACATCAAGCCCTGGTTTTTTTCAACAATGGTGAAACAAGTGAGACTTTCCATTCTTTAGGAAAGTGGCCCGTAGACAAGGAGACATTGATCATGGATGTGAACACAGGTAGTATAACATCAATATATTGCAAGAGAATCTTTGTTGGAATCGGATCAGCTTCCTCAAACGAAGAGTAGTATAAAGAGTCGAAGACAACACAGACACAAAATCCAATTTCTTTAGCCGGAACTTAACAATTTACTGCCGAAACACTGGGCTCTCTGGTGTCACTGTACAACAGGACAAAACTGGGAAAACTGGGAAAACTGGAGAGCTCATCTCCAGTGACTTGACGCTCGACAGACTACACGAACAAGTGTCTAAAATGGCTTCGCTAATTATTGAAGCCGAAAGTAAGGTGTCCTTCAAAAACAAATACTCAAAGAAAAGGCCATTTCAAATCCTACTATAAAAAACATCGATCATAAATACAACAGACACTGTCAATATTTAAATTGCCAATTCACCATTTATAAAATACCTAAATGCTTCATAGGCTGAAAGAGAATAAATATCTAGCTTTCTTGTTATTAAAATGAACAAAATGAACCTTTTTTTTCTCATCTTATTAAACAAACAATATGCACTCTAAAAATCTTCTCAAAGATTTTGAACCTGCTTAAAAAAACCACAAAATAAATTTCGCTCAGCGAAACAATCATCAGAGGAAAATATGAATATTTTGAAATAAGGATTCATAGTATTATGAAGCGCATTGAAACTCAGATTAGACGATCGTATACAGTTAGCTGATTTACAAGACAAAAACAACTAACTCTTCTTTGCATTTATCTTTTTTAGTATACAGTAGTTCTCTTCACTAGCCTACTTAATACGTATATCTTTTAGCAGCTTTATTTTCCTACCTTTCTGTCCAAAGTTCCCATCTTTGCAATCAACTTGGCTCTTTCCATACCAAGAACATTTTGTGTGTGCAAAAAGTTAATCAATTTTTAAAGATGCTTCGTATCGATTATGATTTTTTACAGGCCTCTTGACTTCAAATGATTTTTGAAGATTGCATTAATGGAAAATTTAGTTTATTCATGATTGAAAAAGGATTACTTCATTTCCTTCATGATAAATAAAGAGGTTTTTTGTATAAATATATTTTACGTTAAATTTAAGAGGGATTTATTGAAAAGGATCTTTTCGTTTAATGAATAAGTTTATCTTGAAAAAAATCGGCATCTTAGTAATATCTTCTTTAAGTGAATTTTAGGGAGAAAATGATAAACCCAATCGGATCGGCACACAAACCCATAATCTCGAAGAGCATCAATCTTAAGCCTTTTGACATTTCAAAACTTTCCTAAAAGTAACAAATATTACTTGCCCTGCTTTGGATAGTTTGTTCATATTTATTTTTTGCCTCCTTAAATTAAAATGTGTGTCGTTTCTGCTACTGTGCTTTGAATACGGCATATAAATATCGATGTAAATTCTCTCCCCCAATCATTTTGTTGACAAATATCTCATGCGATGGTTCCCTTCTTACTGATTTGCCGTTTGTTAACAGTTAAAACGGGTTCGATTTGAAATTATTATTTTGACAGTTGAAAGAAGGTCGCTTGTACATTGTATTTCATGGTGTTACCCTTATAGGTTTATCTACGTTTGTTTAATTCTACGCATTTTTGACCCACGAAAAAACAGTTTTGAAGAACTGACAAATCTGACTTGAGTTACCAGTCGTTTACTATTTTGTGATATTAAATGAAGTAAAATATACTATACTCTCTGTGTTTGTAAAGCTTTTATGATGTGATTTGGAAACGTTGTGAAAAACAATGCAATAGCCTGTTGTTGATATCTATTTTGACTTCTTGATTTTCAATATTTCCTCGCCTTTCTGTTCATTTTCTTATGCAGAATCAATACCAGCTGCACAATGTATTTTCCGTTCGTGATGCTTACGCTCCAAGTCTTAAATGCATAGAACAGATGTGGTGTCAACGCTGATGCGGGTATACAGCTTACTTAGTCTATTTTTCTAAGGTAAGTGATAAACGATTATCTAGAGCGCTGATGCAGCTTTCATATTCGCATCCGATGAGGGTTGAGTCCGGACTCAGTCCGCAGAGATAGTTACCCACTCAATTCAAATCATATGGTACCATTTATATCTATATATTTAGTAGGTAGGGCGGATATCGTCTGTTGTGCGAATTTATATCCATCGTTTCGCACAAAGAATTGCTATGCTTTCTGATTCTCTCCAGTTCTGTCTCACAATCGTAACAACTTTCGGTAAATCAAATGAAACCAATTTCAACAGCCTTTGACATGTGCGAACTTGATGGCCGCATGTCTTGTAATCTGAACAAGGTTATTAAATGAAGTACGTATAGAATAATGTATTGAAAATGGTCTCGAGTTGAATTCTTGAAAGTTTTTACGATCTTGTTCTTCGCATCCACAATAAGAAATCTCAGTTTGCCCCAAGTAGCACAGCTACCGTTCATATAATACAAAGAAACCGATTCCGGTCCGGACTCAACCCTCTTCTATCTCTGATATGAAAGGGGCCCAATCTTTCAAAAGTGCACACCACGTGCAGACAAGATTATTGGTAGATCAGTTCATCTTCTGTCGCATTGTAACAGATCAAGTTCTTGGGGCGACCTAAAGACATCAGTCACTAAGAAGATATATATGATATCCTCTGTAACTTGGTCATCACGTGGGGGCTCAACAGTCAAGCTGTAAAGAGCGTGTAACACAATGATGTAACGGACAAGATTTCAACATTAGCTCCAAGTTTTCCGAAAACTGCTATATCTTAATATAATTGAACCCCTATCTGACACAAAAGCAAGCAAAATATTGATGGTGAAATACCAATTTCTGTAGCATTTTCTTTATATTAAAGCAAGAGGCTTCTGAAAAGTATGGTTGCGTGTTTTATGTTCATTTTTTTCCACTTGTTTAGATTTAGCAAATGAAAATACGCCCGACAGGATTTCAGATTTAGCTCCTATTTTTTTTTTAGAAAACTATTGTATCTTAACGTAATTAAAACCCTTTCTGACCCGAAAATATGGATAGTTGAATACCACTTCTTTTGGCATTTTCGAAATGGAGACTCTTTATTGAAGCATGAGAATTCTGGTAATTGATGGTTATATGTTTGTCGTTCATTTTTCCGAGCGTACAGGTTGGGCTAACACAAAATGTACATGATATTAATTAACTTGCAAACTTGCAAAACATTTTTTTTTTTTGGGGGGGGATGGGGGGGGGGGGGGGTTCAACTGCCGAAAGGGAACGGTAGGACACATAAAATGTCTTACTCTTTTAAATTATTTCCACCTATATTTTTCACCATTCAAAATGTTTTGTATATTTCTTGTCTCTCATTTGAACTATAAAAATAAATATGCATCGAAATAATCAGGGGCTGTATTTTTTTCGTCTGATTGACTATCATAAAACAAAATAATTGAATATCACCCCCAAAATGTCAAAGAGTCTAATTTCTGACGAATAATCATAACATTTCGACCCAGAGCAATATAACACCAATAAATCTATTTATTCAGATGGTCATATTTCAGCCAATACTTAACATATTCAAATGGTTTTTGAGATTTTGACATTATTTGATATGCTCTTTCGGAAAATGAAGAATAATTGATAAATTCCGGAATTTTTCTTTTTATGATGTCACAGCTTCGGTACTCTATACTTTTTCACAGTTCACTTTTACTTTGCCGGTAATTAGTGTGCAATCCGAAGGGTTACAAATATTTAGTAGGTAAATTTTAGAAAGTAGGGAGCTTGGGCATGGATGGGATTTCTATTTCCCACTTCAGGCCTCTGCCCTGTACATGAATATTGATATCGCTATGGGAGTTGAAATGGCACATTTATAGACTATGTGGTAGTGAACTATTAAAACCAATCAAATCTATTTCGATGACTCTTAATCTTGTAAACAAACAGTGTAAACTGTGCTTACGTGATACCAACGAAATACATACATATTTTCGACAATATTTATTTGTACATTTTTAAGGATATTGTGCTAGGGAGAGAAACGACCAAGCGAGAAGATTTATGCATCTTATTAGTCTAAACACTGCACTCATGGGCCCTCCAGAGCCGAAAAGTGTGTTGCAGTCTTCAGTCAGTATTTGCTATACACTTTTTTGAAACTTTTTCAAATTTCCCGGGGGGGGGGGGCGATCCTCCTAAAAGAATTTAGAGGGACGTATCCCCCCCCCCCCCCGCTCCGAGATTACTGCCCCTGCAAATGACATTTGCATGATCCAGGAATCCTAGAACAAAATCGAAGTATTCATTTGAATGTAAATAAAGGTGTTGAAATCCCAAAGTAATAGGGCTATTGCAGCAATTAAGTAAACAAAACAGTTATGTAATTATTAACAATTTCAAAGTCTTATCTTCATGGTGGCACTCAGATCTTCTCGTTTTTCCGACGATGTGTTTTGTTTTTCTCCTAATTATATACACAGAGAGGGATGATAAAATCAACGTGCGAATTTCGCAGAGTATTGCACCTTTTTGTATTGGGAACCTTTTGGAAATTTGAGAGGCACCGTAATAAACTTCTGTGTTCATTACAACACGTCACTCCCCCGAGTTGCTCACCATTTACAAATCTTGGGCATCGCCTTCCCAATAATAAAGCTGATTCATTCGATGTCTCCAATTTAAGTTCAATCAATTCCCAGCTTCTCTGGATCATTGAACAATGTAAGAATGTATCGGTAATCCCGCGCCCCAGTTCTTAATGGTCCATTTCAATTCTGGCAAAACTCTTCGAGAAGTTCAAAGAAACATAGTGGTCTCAGATTGTGATTTTCTTTGATTACCAGCGGCACATGGTTGAATTACGTTTATTATTCTACGACCCACCTATTTGATTGTTATTGTGAAGGGTTCTCAGATGAATTTGCTTCTCCGTTGAATTAAATGATTAGGGGCAAACATGCGATAGGCTGACATTGTAATTGACCTAATTTCTAAGCGCACATTCCGTGAACCAGTTTAATCATGCGACCTTTTCCGAATGTTCAATGTACAACATATCCAGAGTGGTCGGCCTGGGAAGAGAGACACAGAATGACTGATGACTTCATGTCTTGTTTTAATGACACGTAACGGAATAAATGGTCCGGATTTTCCTCATCTCGTCATAGTGTAGGAATCGCGTGCCTGAATATTAAGTGAAAAACGTACCAACACAATCTTACGGCTTTAACTGTTTACACAATGCATAATTTTTGCTTACAAGGAATGTTCTGTAATTTGTATTTTGTAATAGTAGTAATATCTGGTTCAAGTTTTAATGGTTATCATTCTTTTCGGCGTGAAGTAGGTAGTAGTCCTTTTAATGTTCTCCTTTCCAATCTGAACACGATCGCGTCAAATTAAAACAACAGTAAAATAACATGAGGCGATTCCATCTGTTGAAATTCTTTGCGATCGTGTCTGTTGTTTTTGTTGTGTGATGTTTGTTTGTTTTTTGTTTTTTGTTTTTTTCGGGGGGGGGGGAGGTTTATCTCTTCCGAGGATATCTTCTTTTTCTTTTCCTCGCTTTCGTTTTCTTCTATCTGTCGAGGAATTAACGTTTCCTTCGCGCAGGTACCGGAACATACTCCAGGGTTCCCACACCCCCTTTCTCTTTCTCTTTCTCTCTCTCTCTCTCTCTCTCTCTTTCTCCATCTCTCTCCCCCTCTCTCCCTCTACCTCCCCTCTCCCTCCATCTCTGTCTTTTTCTGTCTGTCTGTCTCTCTCTCTCTCGCTATCTATCCTGTTATAGCTATATATCTGTCTGTGTCTTTCTCTCTTTCATTCTCTGTCTGTCTCTCTCTCTCTTTTGCTCTCTCTCTCTCTCTCTCTCTCTCTCCATCTATTTATCCACTTACCGCTATATCTATGTTGGTCTGCCTGTGTGTTTCTCTGTCTCTCTTTCTGTCTCTCTTTCTGTCTCTATCTGCCGATCTCTTGGACAAATCCTCCGTTCTAAAATTGCACAACGGAAATGCTAAATGTGGGTCGATTTTAGTTGCGTTGCTGCAGGCATTGTTTCACGATCGATACTACTCGTATTCTCATAATTCATTTTAGGAACGAAAGTCGCTTGAAAGATGAGAAACCAAATCGTTTCAAATTTGGAATGGATTACATCACTGTTATTTCTCTTTTCCCCCTCTCTCTTTTATACATAACAAAACGATGAAAATTCTCTCCAATTCATTTTCTCACCTTTACAAAACCTTACCCAGTTCTGTAAACACTGACATGGAAGGAAATGCATCATCCTAAAACCCAATCCCACAAATTATTTCATTACCCTACAATCCAGATAACTACTAAATTATTCATACCTCTTGTAAATTTTGATGATTTTACGTGTGTGTTTCGTAACTCGGTAATGAAAGATGCATACAGATTGAATTCTGGCCTTTGTTGAATACTTTTAGATGTAAGCTATAATATGTTACACTCCTAAGAATAATAAATCAGGACTAAACAGTTTTGTAACTGCTTATAAAATTACAAAGCTCGGTAAAGGTATGAATGGCATAGTTGTTAACGGCATATACATGTATCAATACATGTAAATAAGACCTACTAGGTTACAAGGCAGGTTCGTATTATTTACACCAAAGCGCGAGCTACGTTGAACATGTTGACACCAACGGTGTTTACTGTGATCGTGTTGCATATGCACGTGCCGTTTGAGCAACATTCCTGATCATGTGATCCTATACCCTTAAGGATCCGGCTCATTTTCTCCTTCCGAGGCTTTTTTCGGCCGATTGCAATGAGGTCATGTTATTCTACCTTGACGCAACTGATCTACAGTACTCAACTAAAAAGGAAACGCATATCACATTTTGCCGAAAGACAATACTGAATTAGCTATATCATGATACGTAAGTATAAACTACGAGAAAAAAAAGTTTGTAAACTTCAGTGTTGGTCTGATCATTGGCGCGCCATTCCATTTGAATGGGGCTTGCGGT